CATGTCCGGTCCGCCCCATTTCATCCCGCTACCAACGGCCAGGCAGAGCGCATGGTGCGCACCACGAAGGATGCACTCCACCGCCTGAACTCCCCCGATTGGGACTACAAACTGGCAGCCTTCCCCTTCGGACAACGCACCACGCTCCACACCACGACCGGCTGCACCCCAGCCGAACTACTGCTGGGCCGCCGTCTGGCCTCCCGTATGGATCGGCTACACCCGGACCGGGCCCCACCGGAGGCCCCAGGCACCGAGACGTACGAGGCGGCCAGGGGGTTCTTTCCCGAGGACCCGGTGTACGCACGGAACTACGGCCGGGGGCCCAAATGGATCCCAGCCCGAGTCATTCGGGTAAAAGGCCCTCGTTCGTACGAGGTCTCCAGCGAGGATGGCCAAATCCTCCACCGGCACATTGATCAGCTGCGCCGCCGCACACTACAACTGGACCCCGAGGATCCGGACGAGGAGCCGGAGCCGGCGCCACCGGCCTCACTTCTGGAACCAGACCCACAGCCACCATTCCGGCAGGAACCCGAGGCCCCTCGCCATGAGGAACCAGCCCTTCCTTCCACAGCAGACCCCTCGCCGGGCCCGGTCCACTCAACTCCAAGGCCCCCCGAGATTGAACCAATCGCCACCCTGGAACCTCGCCGCTCGACTCGCCCCAGGAAGCCACCAGCGCACCTGAAGGACTTCGTCTGTGGGTGCATTGCGAACCAAGGGGGGAGGGGTGTAATGTATTCAGCCTGACATGCCCGGACTTGCCCGGGCTGGCCAGGCACAATTCCTATGTTAGCTTCAGTCGAAAGACAAAGGATCCGGAGGATCTTAGCCGGCCCAATCAAAAGGGCTAGCTTTCCAGCCGGGAGACCAATGGTCGCCCGGTTACTGTAAATAGCCTATCGGGAGTAGGGGGTGTGTTTAGGTATGCTTGGTGGCGGGTTTTCTGAACATATATAAACCGGCCTGCGAGCCGGTCAGTTGTCTTTGTCCTGAACTAAATAAAGGTATGCTTAGCTGAAATCACTCTCCGTCTGCATACTTTTCAGCAGCCAACAGGCCCAGCAGGGGTTTGCGGTTAGTCACAATGGTGAAGGGCCATCTGTAGAGGTAATTGTGGAACTTCTTGACCCCCACCATGATGGCCAGTGCCTCTGTCAATCTGTGCGTAGTTGCGCTCAGCCGAGGACAAGGTGCAGGAGTAATAGGTCACGGGAACCTCCTGGCCATCAGGCAGCTGGTGTCCCAGGATGGCCCCAACCCCGTATGGCAATGCATTGCAGGCGAGGACGACAAGGAGCGTCTCATCAAAGTGCGTGAGGACTGCATTTGAAGTGAGGAGCCCTTTGACGGCCTGGAACGTGGCAGCTTGCTTTTGGCTCCAGACCCAGGGAGATTTTTTATCTAGAAGGCTGTGCAGGGGCTCAGTGACTGCAGCTTTACGGGGCAAGATGGAATGATAAAAGTTCAGTAGCCCCAAAAAAGCCTGTAGTTCCAACTTGGACATGGGAGCAGGAGCGTTGACGATTGTGCGGACCTTGTCAGGGGTCAGATGGATGCCATGAGCGTCGATGGAGAAGCCCAGGAATTTGATCCGCAGTACCCCCAGGAGACATTTTTCCCGCTTCACCTTGAGGCCGGCGGCTTAGAAACGTCGCAAGATGGCACATAGTCTCTCCGCGAAGGTGTTGGCCGTGGGTGCGGCAATTAAAACGTCATCAAAGAATGGCTGGACCCTGGGGATTCCTTTGAGGAGAGAGTCCATGAGATTTTGAAAAATCCCTGAGGCTAAGCTGACCCCAAATTGCCGCCGCCGCACCCAGAATGCACCCCTGTGCATCATGATCGTCTGGGCTTCTGCGGTGGCATCATCTACAGGACAATGCTGGTACGCCTGGGCCAAGTCCAGCTTACTTAAAATCTTTGCATCCACCAATGAAGCTGACCACCAGGACTGGATAGGCATGGTCCTGTAGGGTTTTGTTTATTGTGCATTTGTAGTCCACACAGATGTGGACATCTCCATTTGGTTTAACGAGGGTCAAGATGGGGGTCTCCCAGAGAGCATGCAGCACGGGCTCCAGAACCCCTTAGACCACTAGGTGATCCAGCTCCCCGTCTATCTTGGGCTTAAGGGCGAACGGGACGCGCCTGGCCTTCATGCGGATGGGCCGCACTGCCGGGTCTAGGTTTAGGGAGACAGGCGGACCAGTGTAGCAACCCAGAGTTCCATTGAAGATGGCCTGGAACTCATTGCACACGTTATGAAAGTCCGTATGCTGCACGTGGTGCACTCCCGTCACTTTGAACCCCAAGGGAGCGAACCACGTCAGTCCCAGCAAGCTAGTGAGCCAGCCTTCCACCACCAACAGGTCCAAAAGTCCCTTAAAGTTCTTGTACTGCACGTGGAATTTGCCCCACCCCTTTATGGCCACTGGATACTTTTGGAAGTCTCTGAGGGTGAATCTAGCAGGTTTCTTGTGGACAGAGCCTTCGGAGAGTCTCTGCCAAGATAATTGAGATGGAGGACCCTGTGTCCAGCTCCATCTCGCAAGGCGTTCCCTCAATTAACACAGTCACTTTGATTTTGTCAGGGGTGTCCTGGGGCAAATTCAGTACCTGGTCTTGGTGGACTGCCGTGGTATGAAGCTCTGCTGATTCCTGGTGGGTGGCAGGGTGTCTCCGGGTTCCTTTGGAATGGGAGGCGCGAGCAATGTGGCATATATACATTTTTTTGGTTTATCTTCTTTTCTGCTTTCATTTTATGCCTCTACTATTCCTATTGTCGAATTATGGTACAACTGTCCACAGAAATATTTATCACAGGATTTGGGCATAGATTCCTTCTTCTCTTCCCACACTGCTGCAAATAGGATTGCCAGCTCCAGGATGGGAAATATGCAATGCCACAGAGTCCAACCTCCAAAGCAGCCATTTTCTCCCATGGAATTATCTCTATAGTCTGGAGATCAGCTGTAATTCTAGGAGATCTCCAGGGCCCACCTGGAGGTTTACAACTGCAAAATGAAGGCCTCTCTCTCTTTCTACTCATTTTCTATTTGGATATGTTTTATTATTTTATATACGTTGAGGTAGTAGGATATAGGTGAAGCCTTTTACATAGGAAATGCTGGTATATTGTTATGACTGACTTTAATATTAACTTTGATAGCAAGTTCAGTAGAGTAGGATTTAGAGCTTTGTATATTTTCTAATAGTCTTGAGAAATCTCATTGCCGTATTTGATTAAATGGAACAATACACAAAACTTTCAGAGCAGTTCATGGTTTCCTGCCTGGTGAATGAAGTCTTGCTACTTCAGGGTTTCTGTAATGAAGTTTCATCTAGAAAATATAAACTCCCCCAAGGGCTAAAATTCAAGTTAAACAAGAAAGTTCTCCTTTACTGCTTCTTAATTCTATATGTAAAATCGAAGCCTTTTAGATAGCTTTGTCTGGTTAAAATAGCAGGACTAGAAAGGTGTAATTCTATAATAACTTTTGCATTAATAGAGAAAGTAGATTTCCAACAGTGACCTTTTTGAAGATCTTTGAAATGCTGGAAAGTCACATGCTGCAGGTTTTCTGCATTGCAGTAGTTTGTTTACACTCTGGGCCCTGTTAGTTAAACTTTGGGAGTTTATGCTACTCTAACAAAGTAAATACATATAATGTTCTTTGTATGAAAGAAACTTTAAATCACTCCATGTTGCAGCATTTACCACATGAATAGTTCACCAGGCTACTTAAAAAGTTTTCTTCATAACATTACAGACCTTTTAGTTCTTTTTTTTAGCCATTTGCAGTTAGGAGAAAAAAAGTGCCTGACCATCTTCCACCTTCAGATGTTAATTTCATGTATGTAGTGGCCCTGAATAAAAACAAATATTTAAATATAATTGATTATTGCTTTGCTTTTAGAATGTTTTAATCCTTCAAATAATATGCATAAAACTCAGTCCCATGTTAGAAAAGGCAGTGGAAAGCCTGTGTTGGCTCTGAAACACAGAAATCAAGCCCCTACAGAATGAATGAATGAATATAATGCCACGCTGAATTAATTGCACTTATGCTGTATTGCTGTTTTTTGGTAAATATTATATCTTATACTGAAAAGAGGGAGTCTACCATGGGGAAGTTACAGATTGTAATAATATTGACCAAAAATATTCATGAGCTAAGTTTAAAAGGATAGCACCAAAGCATGAACATGACAGCAAAGAAAGAAGAGTCAAACATGGAGACAAAATAATTTAGTGAAAGGATCTAGCCAAGCGCATCATAGGATCCTTTCTTTAGGTTGTGTTCTTTTAACTATTGTTTACAAGGGACTTCATGTAAGATATTCTTTATTAATAGAAGTCACAATTTAACTTTAATCATACCTTAACAGGTTCTCTCTCTACCACATCGAAGACTTGTTTGCTACTGTAGACTGTTTGAAGTTCCAGATCCAAACAAACCTCAGAAGCTTGGATTACACCAGCGAGAAATATTTTTATTTAATGATCTCCTTGTGGTAGGTATTTTATAGCCATATTTTCAATAGAATAATGTTAATATTAATGCAGAGACTCATTAAGTAGGAAGGCTTCCTAAGAAGCAGTCATCAGGTCCAACCTAGAGCTACCGATCCTGCAGAAGCAGATTTCCATGTGCTTGTACCTGAATGAAGAATTGGCTGCTGTGTGCCATTTTCCCATCTCTAATCCAGCAAGCCAAGTCTGCATGTACAGAGCACTTTCTGTTGTTGTTTTTTTAAAGCTAAAACCCTGATGATCAGCTGTTTGGATATCGGGATTTCCTCCACCCATTGTTCCCTCACCAAAAAACACAACAACAACAAAAATCTGGCAGAAAACTCCCTTGTACCCACAGCCTAGGGTTACCATATTTTGAAAAACAAAAAGAGGACATATTTCCTGACTGCCTACTTCAAACAAGTGATCACTATGACAAATCTCATTTTAAATACCCCTACCATTTAAGTGTGATAATTGCGATTAACTGGGAATATTCCTAACCTTCCAACCCCAAAAGAGGACATTTTCAAAAAGGCCATGTCCTGTAAAAAGAGAACATGTGGTCAGTGTTCCCTCTAAGCTGAGTTAGTGTGAGCAAGCTCACAGTTTTTTAGCCTTCGGCTCACACATTTTTGTCTTAGCTCAGGAAGGAGGGCTCCAGAGCAAACTAATTTATGCAGTAGTCAAATTGCTCGCTCACAACTTTAATGCCAGTAGCTCACAAAGTACAATTTTTGCTCACAAGGCTCCACAGCTTAGAGGAAGCATTACATGTGGTATTCCTACTATAGCCTGAACTGCTCCACATAAACTCCTTTTTATCAGAGCAAGTAAATGTTAGACTAAACTTTCTGTCTTCTATACAATGGTATTCCTCCTGTAAAATGGTACTTCAAAATCATTTTCAAAATCCTGTAAAATGGTACTTCAAAATCATTTTGCTTTCTAAAACAAAGGAAAGAAGCTAAACTTTGTCTTCATAGTCTTACTGGTATTTTTTGGCAGCACAGCTGAAAGCTTTTGTGCTAACAAGTTTTCCTAATATGTTCAGGTCGTGTTTTCTTTGGCTTTTCTCCTATCCATTCTGTAGGTCAGGTCGCTCAAAAGAAATTATAGTTCGGTTATTCAGTATTTTTTATCCCAGCATACCTAAATAATTTAGTGTCCTAAAATCCCAGTGATTGCCATGCTCAAAGGCAGCTCCTACAAAGGTTAATAACTCTGGTTTCAATACAGCAGAATGTTTCTGTCCACTGAAGTCCATAGAACTTCAGCTTGTTCTGAAACAGGGACGGAATATGGCTTTGAATTAGAGGTAGAGTGCTTAAGGTAGATGTAATATAAATAACATTGCAATTATGTGCATCAACATAAAGTGCAGGAATGTTGATCACAAAGCAGTTTTCTTGCATGATTATCAGTCAGTGCAGAAATATGATAGATGCTGGTACAAAACTCCTTACTGTTTTTAGTACGTCAGAAACTTAATGCCAATACATTTAGAATTGCCTTTCTGGTTTTCGCTTGTGCACACCAAGAGTGGAAGAAGGGCCAAAAAGCACTGTAAGTGGCACATATGAATTTGGCCCAGGCTTTGGTCAAAAAGAGAGCCAAAGATTTTACAATTGGCAGTAAACTGAGGTCTTGAGCTATGGCCTTTGCTTTTGCAATTCTGTCATTATCAGTATCTCAGTGGTCTCTTGCTGTCTTAAATAGATCCACCCATTCCTCCCTAGTATGCCCCCTTTGTCCACAGCTCTCCCCCCAAGACTACCTGTGTGGTCTCAACTCCTTCTCATCCTCATTATGCCTCATCCACTTCCTTTGTTGTTCCTTTGGTTTAACCCCTTAAACCCTCTCTCAAAATGAAATTCACCCTAATCATGTAAAACTGCCTTTATGCACATCCATCCTTTTTTATTCCCTGTGTGGTCTCCCCTACTTCAAAATTTAAATGGCTTTTTGTTTGCTATGTTGCTTTATAGAATGTCATGTACTTCAATGGCGGTATGTATAGAGAGAATAATTATTTGACCGTCATTAGGAAAAATTGGTGATGTAGTAGATTATACAAATGAACAGTTGGATTTACTATTGTAGAAATTAGTAACGCTAATATAAATCCTGGGAGCAACACATTGTTGCATGTTTATTATTTTACATTAATAGAACCGTTCTTGGACTTCGGTAATATGAGGGCCCCCATTTTTATTTAATTTTTTTGTACCTGGGTGTGTGTAACGTGCCTTCAATTCATAGCCAATTTATGGCAACCCCATAGGATT